TATGGCACCACTGTGGCAGACTTTCAGCTATCAGCGTGGAAGCTTACAGAGGGCCTTAAGTATGTCACGGGAATCCTGCTCTAAGGTCTCAGAGAGATGCAGGGCTGAGTCTGAGTCTGGAAGAAGAGCGAAAGCCTTGGGCTAGGGGTTGTGTTTCTATTTCCTTGTGTGCTTTTTCTTTTTTTTCTTTTTTTTTTTTTTTTGGCTTTTTGGGTCACACCCGGCGATGCACAGGGGTTACTACTATTTTGCACTCAGGAATTATGCCTGGCGGTGTTCAGGGGACCATATGAGATGCTGGGAATCAAACCCGGGTCAGCCGCATGCAAGGCAAACGCCCTACCCACTGACCCGCTGTACTGTCGCTCCAGCCCCTTTTTTAATTCTTGAAGCAGTGTTTTGTAGTTTTTTTTTTTTGTATAGTTTTTTATTTCTTTAGTTAAGCTGATTCCAAGGTAGTTGATTTCTGAGACACAATTGTGAGTGGGATTTTTTTTTATCTCTCTTTCTTCTCTTTTCATTATTTGTTATAGGAGAGTTGATGGACTTTTGCATATTCATTTTATAGCCTGTCACTTTACAAATATTTTGTTTCTAGGAACTCTTTTGTAGAATCTTTAGGATTTTCTAAATATAGTATCATATCATATTGACTTCTTCCTTTTCTATCAGGATGCCCTTGATACCTTTTTCTTACCTAATTGCTATGGAGAGTACTTCCAGTACTATCTTAAATAAGAATAGCAAGAGTAGGCAACCTTGTCCTGTGCCTGATCTTAGAGTGACAGCTTTTAGTGTTTTCACATTGTGTATAATGTGAAAGCCCATTTACTGTGGGCTTGTGGTAGATGGCTTTGATTACATTAAGGAAATCTCCTTCAGTTCCCATTTTATTGAGAGTTTTCTTTTTTTATCATGAATGGGTGCTGTATCTTGTCAAATACTTTCTCTGTTTCTACTGATATGCTCATATGATTTTTATTTTTCTTTTGTTGTTGTGATGATGTATTATGCTGATTGACTTGCATATATTAAACCATCCTTGAATCCTGGGAATAAATTTGACTTGATTTTGGTAATTATGTATCTTACAGTGATTCAATTAAAAAATAATCTTTTGCTCGATTTGCTCGAGCGGGCCCAGTAACATCTCCATTGGAGACTTTGTTGTTACTGTGTCTGGCATATCGAATACTCTCGGTAGCTTGCCGGGCTCTCCGAGATGAAAAAAAATTCCTGGGCCAGCAGGAAGTTGTTCAGGTGCTTGAGTCCTGCTTAGCCAGACCTGCAGGTGCTTTCTCACTCCCAACTGCACTGTCCACCACCTGAGTCCGGTGACGGTGCAGAGAGCCACTGAGGCACTGAGCCCCAAACCACCACTGACCGTATGTGGAGTGTGTGAAGCATGTCCTTCAGGAAGTGAGAAGCTCTTAGAGGAGAGAAGAGACCAGCACTCAGTGCTCTGAGAGATGTTCCTCAAGAAAAGTGTGTGTGTTTGTTTGTGTGTGTGTGTGTGTGTGTGTGTGTGTGTGTGTGTGTGTGTGTTGGGAGAAACACCAGGAATTGAACCCAGAGTTTCCTACTTGCCAAGCATGGGATCTACCACAGAGCTATACCCCAGGCCCCCTTAAAGACTTCTAACAGAGTGTCAATATCAACTTATTTTTCCCACCAACCTATAAGAGGGTGTTTATTTCACTAAATGTACACTGGCATTGAGTATTATGAGCTCTTAAAGTTTGCTAACAAGTTGGAGTTACTTTGATAAGGAAACTGAACATTCAGCTTTGACTTTTGGGGGTGTATGGCAGAGAGTATGGCTCAGCAAGTACTCATGTCAGCAAGCTGAATACTAGAGCTACTCTTCCTAGTTCAGTACTTTCTCTGAGTCTGAGGCCTTGAGGTTGAGTGACATACCCAGGCTGTCATTTGGAGAACATCTCTGACTTCAAACTGATCCATATCAGCCTACTTTAAAAATCATTACTTGTTAGAGTTTTGTTATGAAGATTGCAATTCGGGAAATTCTGGCTCTTGTTACAGTAGGACCCTAAAATGAATCACCTGTTCTTCTTTCTTTATTTTTTATTTTATTTTTTGGGGGAAGGGTGTCACACCCGGCAATGTTTAGGGGTCACTCCTGGCTCTGCACTCAGGAATTACTCCTGGTGGTGCTCAGGGGACCATATGGGATGCTGGGAATCAGTGCAAGGCAAACGTCCCACCTGCTGTGCTATCACTCCAGCCCCACCTATTCTTCTTCAAATGATATATATTGCTGTAGGCTTTCCCTGGGAACTCGTTATTCTGAAATAGGGTTCCCCACAGCCTGGAGAACCACTTCCACTTCCCCAACCTCCCACCACCTGAGTCCGGTGACAGTGCAGAGAGCCACTGAGGCACTGAGCCCCAAACTGAGATCCTTCCAGAATCCAGAATTAACACTAAGGTTCTTGTCTAGCCTGCTATACTGGGAGGGTCAGGGTAGGGAGAAGATGGTGACCTTTTTTAGACTGTCAGCCAGGCGATGCTATTGGTGTTGAGTCCATGGGAACATGACCAACAAGTCTCACACAGCTCTAGGCCAAGGCTTTCATGCGTGGGGAAAGGTGTCATCATTGAGACTCAGGGTCACTGGCTACTGCTCCTCGCGGCTGCCCTCCTTGCCTTCCTCTCCCCCAGGCCCAGACCATGGGTGTGGAAACTGACCGGGGAGGGCTGTGGTCCTGGACTTGAGTCCTAGCTCTGCTGTTGAATGACTTCACACCTGAGATGCCAGAGTGGCCTTCAGCACTGAATCGCATCATCCCGTGTCTGTAGGATCCACGTGCTCGGCAGCCGTTCCATGCCCCCTCATGGAGCAAGTAGTGCATGCACTGATGCTTTGCCAGTAGAACGCCAGAGATTTGCAAACATGAGCTTTGTGCTCATGAGGCTATTGATTAGGCTACTGGATGCCTGAAAAATGTTTGGAATTTATTATTTTTTTAATTTGACCATATTTTGAAAGGTTTCAAAATAGTTTCCCCTCTCCATGGAGAATGGGGGGGCCCATCAGCCTGGGGCCATGAAGTAGGATGGTCTGGGGAGCTCTTCTCACTTTAGGGGATATACGGGGTCTTCTGCTTATGACAGAGGTCCTGAGTATCCCACCCCCATCTCCTACCCCACCCTCCCACCCACTCGTCTCTTATTGACCCACCAGCTGAGCCCTGACTGGAATCTGACTCTCTGTGTTCTGCTGTCTCTTACCACTCAATCCTGGGAAAATTGCTTAGGCTATCTGGTACCTAAGTTTCTCTGCCTGTAAAATGGGGTTTTTGTTAGTACTTGCCTATAGAGTGTCTTAGGGATTCAGTAATAATTCACATAGAGGGCTTCCTACTCATACCAGGAAGTGGTGAATAGTGAACACTTAGTAAATGGTAGCTGTATTACCTGATTTTTTTCCCCATATATGTCGATACTAGGTGATATTATCTGACTCTTTTCACATTTACTCCAAATCTTGGGGACATATTTACATGATGTTGTTTAAATGGTGTAGGAACCTGGGGCAGAGTCAGGTAGCAGTGGAGGAATGTGAGATTTCAGAAGCAGCTGAGATGGCTGAGCAGCTGGAACTTTGTGTAGAAAACATTGGCCTTGAGGGTGGCTTCTTTTCAGGTTCTTAGAAATGGAGCAAAATTATTTGGGTTTAACAAATTTGTAGTGCAATCCCATCCCTGGCAGTAGACTCCCAGGTTAAATTTGGTCAGAAGGTTGTGGGGGAAAAAAAGAAATGGCTTGGAGTAAACTGCATGGTTGGCTGCAGGAGGAAGCAGTGTAGATCCCTAACTTGAACCTCTTCACTGGGGCAAGAGGGTCCATCCTGCAGGACTGAGACTCCTCTCCTGGGACACCCCAGCCCCTGCCATCAAGGGTTCTCACCTGTAGCCCCCTGGCATTGGGATGTGTTGTAGCTGCTCCTTTCTCGTATTTGCTAGGGTTCAGGGGAAGGGAGTCCTTTGTGCCCCAATCCTGTGCATGCTGAAATGCCACGGAGCAGATTCCTGGGCAGGATGTCCCCTCAGGGAGAGAGTGGTGCAGTGACTGAAGGATCTTAGGACCCACGACCCCTGCCAGGGCCGTCACGTGATGCCTGCTGATGTTCCCCGCCCCCTGGATCAGAACCCTCCGAGACATTTGTGGGGCCATGGTATACAGTTGAACAGTTAAATGGCCCAGGCATCCAGGCCGGGGGTAAAATCCAGCTAGCAACCTAGGGCTGGGTTTGCCTGGTGACAGGCAATCAGAGCGCTCCTTTATGCCCATCCCCTACAGCAGGCTCTGCCGTGCTGGGGTCTTTGGAAGAACGTCTTCCTGGGACAAAGACGCCCCCCCCCCAAGAAAACCCCAGAATGCACCAGGGAGGAAGTATCACCTCAAAGATTGCCAGTGAGGACCAGCAGGGCTTGTTCCCAGGACTGTGTCCTCTGCCAACAGTCCAGACTGGAGGCTAATGCTGAGCATCCTGTATCTTGAGGGGCTTCTGCAGCGGCCTGTGGACAGAAAATTGCAAAGGACAGGGGGAGCACCATAATGAAGTGGGGACCACAAAGAAAGAGTACCCAGTGTTCTGGAGGTGCATGGCAAAAGCTGGGGGGCTGGCGGCTGAGCAAAACTTTTCTAGGCTCCCTGGGAGTCAGCTGGGTTCTCTTCTCTGGAGTGGGGGGGTTCCTGATTGCCCCCATGAAGCCAGGAACAAGAATTGCTGTGCTGGGCCAGGCTGCATTTTCATAGGGCCCAGTTCTTCAGCAGGAAGTCCCACTCTTCCACCAGCCTTCTTATACTGGAGGAAATTGCTTTATTAGCAAAAAGAGTCAAAGATCACTCTCCTTTTCTTGGAGGTTGAATTTCTAGTTTTTCTGAGCAAGCTTTGGAGTCCACTAAAGCTACCTGGCTTCTGGCTTCCCTCTTTGTGACCACGTGCTAACTTCCTTTACTTCTCCCTCTCCCAGATACTTACTGGAGCAAGATTTCCCGGGCATGAGGATCGGTCCCGAGCCCACCACCGATTCCTTCATCGCTGTGATGTACGGAGAGACGGAGGGCAATACCCCAGGCAACGCACTGGTTGTGGATCCAAAAAAGCCCTTCAGAAAGCTGAGTCGCTTTGGAAATGCTTTCCTGAACCGGTAAGGACCAGCGTATGACCCTCTGCGGCCACATTGCCTAAATGTGTCTTTTACATCTTGCCAAGGACACATAATGGTTTCAAAACAGAATAGAGACATAGCCCTAGAGAATATGCTGATTGTGTTTGGGGCTTGAGAAGCAGCCCCTGTGCCTGCTCATTTGTACCTATCCCTGGTGGCTGCAGAGAGCTGGCATGAGGGACCCCATGGTACCAGGAACATGTTTCTGCACAAAACTAGAGCCTGTACCCTCATGAGCGAATGAGCACTCCTTTGGTCAGCACTGGTAAAAACGGCCACCTCAAAATGTGCGGGTGCCGAGGGCCTCTAGGACCGACAACTGAGCCCAGAACCTCTGAGGTTCACCTAACCCCTACACTGAGACCTGTTCTGATTATCCCCTGGTCACCTCACCTCTCTGGCTGGCCCTTATCTTCCCACTCCCTGAGTTTGAGTTATTTCCCAAACTCATTAGAGCAGGATGGAGCTGCGGATGAAGGGCGGGGGGAGGGGGGGGGGGACTGGGCTGGGGTGGAAAAACGTCAGGAAATGTGCAGAGTTACTATAGGCATACCGCCATTGTTTTATCGATGTGAAGAGGAGAGAGATCAGGATTCTATCCTGGTTAGGAGTATGTTTTCTTGTCCTGTTACACAACCTTGTACCAGAATCCCCAGTGAGATGGAGGAGGTGACCCCAAGAACAAGCTGTGGCTTCCCATCTGGACCAGATCTGCTTGACTTTTCCTCCCCTCCCTTTGGCCTCTCAGAGCCTCTTATTTATTCAGGTTTGGGGGCCACACCCAGCAATGCTCAGGGCTTATTCCTGGCTCTGCCCTCAGGGATTCTTTCGGGGTGGGGGGGAGTGGAGCGCATTCAGGGACCATATGGGATTTCAGGGATTGAACCTGGGTCAGCCATGTGCAAGACAAACATCCTACCCACTGTACTATCACTCCAGCTTCCACTTTTGTTATTTTTTAAAAACCCTTTCCTTTCCAATTCTGCCTCTTGCCTCTCCCTTTCCTTTTTTATGAATTTTCTGCTCTTGAAGAGTTGGTCTGGGGAGGCAGTGGTGAGAAGTGCAGGGCCCAGGAGGGGTCCTCTGAGCTCCTGTAGGAAGAGGAGGGGCCAGAGCTGACAGAGAGGAGACTTGAACTGCATTTGTCCTTTGAAGCTGTTTAAGCAATGACTAGACCAGAGCCTCCCAGCTGACTGCTGACCTCCCCAAGGCTGCAGACCACAGCCATCAGCACCAGCGGAGTATGGAATAAAGGGTGTGGCTGGTGTGCCCTATAGTCACTTGCCGGACAGCTGCAGGGACACTCACACAAATGACAGGTGGACTCACATGCTTAGCCCAGTTAGTTCTTTTCACTGCAGCCTCCAGGGCTTCATGCCTCAGAGTCCCTGATGGCCCCAGAGGGTCCCCTGAGAACTAGACACAGAGCTTAGATGGGATGCAAGGACTTTAAGAAGTGGGAAGAAACGTCTCCACAGCAGGGGCCTTGGGGGCCCTGGTCACTGGGTGGGCACCAGTCTGGAGACCCTGAGAAGTGCAGGACCTGGACCTTTTTCCAAAGAAATCTGCCTGGGGTGCTGGGCCTTGGTTGCCACTGTCCCTGGTCTTCTGCTCTTTAAGCCTAGAAGACAGAAAGAAGCTGCCACTTTTTTTTTTTCTTGAAGTCCTTTCATGAACCCATATTCATGTGGGAAGAAGCAGGCAGAATGGCTATTGGCTTCTTTCATCCAGGCAAATGATTTGCTTTTCTCACCCGTTTCCTTTCTTCAGGTCTCGCTACCACGCAGCAGAGGAGTGTGGGAGAGAAGCACTGAGGAGCGTTTGAATGACAGGGTTTCTTATCATTTGCTGAAAATGGTCCATGTGTTTGATGATCAAATGTTGATTGAATTCAGAGAAATACATAGGAAAAGGATAATAAATAATTAGATGACATTTATTAGGGGTCAGGTGCGTACATATCAGATCTGAATCCTCAGAAAAACACCACAGCTTGGGTAGAGAGAGAGGAAGAAGTGACTCACAGAAAGGTTAGTTGAACATGCAAAGGGTCACTCAGCTGATCAGTGGCCAAGTGGAGAGGCCATCTGACACAGAGCCCCCTCAGGATCCTGGGTACTGAAATTAGTTTGGACAAAGAACCATTGCCTACCACACACACACTATCTTTTTTTTTTGTCTCTTTGTTTGTTTGGGGGGTCACATTAGCCTTGTTCAGGGCTTATTCCTGACTCTGTGCTCTGGGCTCACTCCTCGAGGGGCTCAGGGAACCATATGTGGTGCTAGGGATCAAACCAGGGTCACTTTCAAGGCAAGCACCCTACCCACTGTACTATCTTTAATATAGATCCCAAACAATAATGGTGGGCTGAAGCGATAATATAGCAGGGTTGGTGGTGGGGGTTGCCTTGCATGTAACCAACCCTGGTTAGATCCCCAGCATCCCATATGGACCCCTGAGCAGTGCCAGGAGTAACCCCTGACCATCTCCAGGGTGAGCCCACTTCCTTCCAAAATGGGAGCATTCCCAGAAGGAAACATTCCTTGCTTCCCACTCCTCACCGTTCTCTGCCCCAGGAGGCGGGGATCAGGGAGAAAGGGGAGAGGGCTGTCATGTGCGGAGTCTGTGGTAGGGACTCTTGAGCCTAACCTGGGCTCCCAACTCTGGGCTTTGGGAGCAGTTTCAGGGGCAGGGAGCAAAGACCCACTGTCCCAGGCAACCCGTAGTCCTATAAAAGTCATTTCCCTCCAGACTTAATTAGCAGCCTGGGAAGGGCCGGGCCCCCACACTCTTCCACTGTGGACCTACAGTCTGGAATGAGGAAAAAGAAAAACAAAAAAGGAAAAAAAAATCATGGTGCTGATTCTGTCCTCAAGCTATAGATGAAGAACTTCGTGTACACTCCTTAGGAGCTCAGTAGCACTCTAGCACTGTTCTCCCGTTGTTCATCGATTTGCTCGAGCAGGCACCAGTAACGTTTCCATTGTGAGACTTGTTACTGTTTTTGGCATATCGAATATGCCACAGGGAGCTTGCCAGGCTTTGCTGTGCTGGCGGGATGCTCTCGGTAACTTGGCCGGCTTTCTGAGAGGGATGGAGGAATCAAACCTGGGTCGGCCATGTGCAAGGCAAACGCCCTACTTGCTGTGCTATCGCTCCAGCCCAGGAGATTAGTAAGATAGATAATACCGTGGCCATTTTACAAATGAGAAAGCTGAGAGCAAAGCTATAAAGTGACTTTCTCAAGAAACAGATATTTCTCAAGTTCAGATATTCCGCTGCTTCTTCCCGGCATCTACCCTTCTGTACCTTGAAAGGCCCTGGCAAAGAGAAGTTCTGGGGCCAGAGAGACAGCTTAAGGGGTACAGTGCTTGCTTGGTATGTAGGAGGCCCAGGGGGGCTGCATGGTCCCCCAGTACCACCTTGAGATTTTCTGGTATGATCCAGAAAACAAAACCAAACAAATCAGGAACTCTGTCCCCCATCCATCCAGGCAGCCATGCCTGGTGTAACTCCCAGAACTTAATAGCATACTTAGGAGTAAACAGCCTGATTAAGTGCTTTCCCCATGACAGTGCTGCTGTCTCGCCCAGCAATTATGTAAGAAAGAGAGTCAATTAGCAGAGGGCACTCAAACGTATGTACATAATTATAGCCTCCCTCTGGGGACTCAGCTCCCAAGCAGGCAACCCTCTTTGTACATAACAGGCTTTTCTGGGAACTAGGTCAAAACACAGCTCTTATGAGGGAAAGAGAATGTGTTGCTCTGGAGAGCACCCCTTTTACCACACCACCCTGCAGTCACCCCTGGACTAGATCTCCTTTCCTTGCTTTCTCAAGTACCAGCTGCAGCAGCTGCCCTGTGAATGTCTTTGCTCTAGCAGAAGGCTGGCTTCTAGGAAAGTAATAGAGGTCTGCAGGACATTCCTGGGAAATGAAGATGCACTTTCCATACTCGAGCAGAAGGAGTTGATTCTAGATGTCTCTGGGGAGGGCTCTCATGTGAAACCGCCTCACTGTGAGGGATTCCACACCGCGGCCTGGTCTGGAGGGAATCCTAGACACCTGGAGGTTGAGGTTCCAAATCTGGTGGAGGGCTAGGATCCTGGGAACTGCTGTAGCATCTCGTCAAAAGGCCGGCGTGAGAGTCAGGCAGTTCCCGCTGTCCGGACCTGCCTGTGGAGTGTCCAGTAACCCACTTGATCCACTAAAAATGCCAGTCTTTTCTTTTATGTTTGTGTTGGTCTGGTTTGGTTTGGTTTAGGGCCACACCCAGTGATGCTCAGGAATCACTGCACTCAGGAGTCACTCTGGGGGTGCTCAGGAGACCCTTTGGGATGGGTGCTGGAGATCAAACCCAGGACAGCCACATGCAAGGCAAGCTCCTTACCCGCTCCAGCCCAGCAAAGATCTTTTACTATCTATTACTGTGTCTGTGCTGGTCTTTTCTTAAATCCAGAGAGCCACAGATATTACTTTTAGTTTATTTATTTATTTATTTATTTATTTATTTTTACCTTTTTGGGTCACATCTGGCAATGCACAGGAGTTACTCCTGACTCGGCACTCAGTAATTACTCCTGGCGGTGCTCTGGGGACCATATGGGATGCTGGGAATTGAACCAGGATCCGCGGCGTGCAAGGCAAATGCCCTACCCGCTGTGCTATTGCTCCAGCCCTCTAGTTTAGGATCTAATATGATTTTATGTTGTACTCTTCCACAGGAGAAATTCTTTTTTTAATTAATTAATTATTTATTATTATTATTATTATTATTATTATTATTTTAATATATCACCTAGAGGTGCAGTTACAGACTTACAAACTTTCGTGCTTACGTTTCAGTCAAACAATGATCGAGTACCCATCCGTCCACCAATGCCCATTCTCCACCACCAGTGATCCTAGTATCCCTTCCCTCCCCCTACCCCCCCACCCCGCCTCTGTGGCAGGCACATTCCCTTTTGTTCTCTCTCCTTTTGGGTGTTGTGGTTTGCAGTACAGGTATTACGTGGCCATTATGTTCAGTCTATAGTCTACTTTCAAATCTCCCATCCCGAGCAGGCCCTCCAAGCATCTTTTACTTGGTGATTCCTTCTCTATCTGAGCTGCCTTTTCCTCCAGCATATGAGACCGGCTTCCAAGTCATGGAGCAATTCCACAGGAGAAATTCTTAATCTCATTGATGTCTCCATGGCCTCTAATTCTCTTTGAAAAATAACAACTAATCTCAAGCTCTGGGAATTAAAGATTTGAAGTCTCCTTAGGTCTCAAGATTCTGAATAACAAGAACTCCCATCCTGTCCTCCTAGCTCAGGCCTGATGGGGTGAACAGGAAACACTCTGTTCCCCACCTGTCTAATGATTCAGTCACCGTGGAGCACATCGTTGAACTTGTGGCTTTCTAGTTGCCTCTATGTTTGTGATCAAATGTGGCTTCATTAAATAGATTTTTGTTTTGTTTTGTTTTAAATATTACAGTCACTTAACACTACTGGGAATTTTTTTTTTAAACGAACTTAATATAGCAGCAGTCTCAACACCTACCAGCTCCGCGGACTAATTAGGCTACACAGATTAAGGAATACAGGCTCTTGCCAAGAATTCTGCTCGATTCACCAGGAACATTGTTGTGGTTTTCATTTTATCTGAGAGATTAACTGTATTTTTATGGCATGTTTGCCATAATAAACTCCCTGAGGCTCTTCTCATTAATCTTTAACCTTGGGATTTGTGGTGGCTCCCAGGGTCATTAAACCATTGTTCCGCATTGGCAGCTGCCTCTATAGTCCTGGTCCGGACATTCCAGAAAACCAGCTTCACTCCCTGGATTCAAGCAGACCTTCCCAGCACAGCCCTTGCATTGCGGCCTGGCCTCCCCCGTGATGCTCTGGATTTAGAAAAATACCTCTGAGGAATCAGAGAAACAGCTCAGAGGTCAAGACACTTGTCTTGCATGCAGCTGACCCCAGTTCAATCCTTGGTATCACGAGTTTCCCTGAGCACCATGAGAAGTGACACTAGAGCGGGGAGCAGCCTCTGAACATCATCACATGTGGCCCAAACACCAAAAAAAGGGAGAAAAGAAAAAAGAAGACTTATCTGTGTAGGTTGAACTACATGAAACAGCCCATGGTCAGCACCATTCACCTGGAAAAGTGATCATTTTATAAGATTTGATCTAAGGGGTAACTGATGCAGCCTAGATGTGAAATTAAACTCCTGGGCAGTGGAAGGTTGACTCATTATGCAGTATTCATTGTCAAAAGCATTTTTGTATCCTGTTTCCTCTACTCTGCAAACTTGGGAATTTGTGAAACCTCTCTGAGCACTAAAATGAACTGGGGTAGGAGTCCAAGCCTTGCAATGGCCCATATGTTCTCCACTGCAAGCTTGGGCATACCAGAACTCCATGTCCAAGCTAGGATTCCTCCAGCTGGAAGAATTGCTGAGAAACCTGCTGAAGGAGCTAAGAAGTCAGCCTGAGTCTAATCTTATGCCTGCCCATCTTGAGCTTCACCCTGCAGCAGTAGGCACAGAACTGCGGCCTGCACCCAGGCCTCCCTGGGGTGTTCCTAGGTTATCTTTGGTCATCCCTTCATTTTAGGATGTGGCCTGCTGAGCAGTAAAGGTAGAAGGCAGTGGCTCCAGAAGGCAGGGCATGAGATGGGGGAGAGACTACAATGAGGAACCTGGGCACTTGGGGCCAAAGAGGTAGTACAATGAGTAAGGCATTTGCCTTGCATGTGGCCAACCCAGGTTAAGTCCCTGATACCACATTTGGTCCCTCGAGTCTGACCAGGCATGATCCCTGAGCACAAAGTCAGGAGTAAGCTCTGAGCACAGGGAAGGAAGGAAGGAAGGAAGGAAGGAAGGAAGGAAGGAAGGAAGGAAGGAAGGAAGGAAGGAAGGACCTCTAGATAGCTTGTACCATTTTGGGTTTTTCCCCATTTTTTGTTGTTTGGAGGCACACATGGAGATACTCAGGGCTTTCTCCTGGCTAATTTGTGGCAATTTTTACTACCAGGTGTTAGGAAAACAAAAGCAATGTTAGAGTCCTGTCTGGTTCCTCTAAGATGTTGATCACTGCATTAATGTTGGCATCAAACACCACACGAAGAGCTTTACGCCTCCAGTTTTTCACAGGACCCCTCTCCCCTTGCCCGCACTGTCTGTTCCTCACCATTCCTTCACCCACATGCTTTCTGTGACCCCCCACAACCTTCCCTGGGGAATGCAGGTCCAATGGAGGGTGTGATGCCTCCCCTCTCCGCTCCCCTCCCCTTATCAGAAAGCTAATAGTCTGTGGTCTGGCAGGGGGAGGAAGACACTTCCCAGCACTCGCCTGCGCCTGTGCAGTTCCTGTGAGGTGTGGAAGGTGAGACCAGACGTGCTGGACATCAGCCACCCCCAGAAGGGGCAGGAAATCCATCCCGGGACAGCAAATCTGTGCTTGGAAGCATGTCAGTGGGCACATGGTGCTCTGGCGGGCTGTGGTGTCAGTGGTAACCTTGCTTCTCGCCTCCATCTCTGAGTACTGGGGCTGCAGGGGGACCCCAGGACTGCACTGCACCGGAGTTTGTGCTGATGACAGTGTAACCTGATGACTGAGAGCCCCTGTGTGGCTCTGACTCCTAAAGCTGGAGCTACTGATGACTTGTGTTCTTGAAACCTTGCCCCCCCACCCCCTGCCCCAAACCCCCAAGATGCTTTCTCTCCCAGAGTGGCTGCACCTTCCATCTCCAACAGCCCTTCTCTTGTGGGCTTGCTCCTTCCCCTCTCTTCTCCCCACCCCCCTTTCTCTCCCCTCCCCCCATTCTCTACACTGGCTCCTCCTGGTCCTCTGCCTGTCATGTGTAACCATCAATTGAGACACATCTTATTCGGGTGGGGGAAGTCAACCTACCACTGCCCAGGAGTTTAATTTCACATCTAGGCTGCATCAGTTACCCCTTAGATCAAATCTTATAAAATGATCACTTTTCCAGGTGAATGGTGCTGACCATGGACTGTTTCATGTAGTTCAACCTACACAGATAAGTCTTCTTTTTCCTTTTCTCCCTTTTTGTGGTGTTTGGGCCACATGTGATGATGAAGGGGGGAGTTGTTGGAAACATTTTCTCTGCCCCAATGGCATTAACCACTTCATGACTTTGGATCCCTTGTCCTAGAACCCGGGGTGTCTATGCTGGGAGAAGTTGGTGTTGAGTGTGAGCGGGTGGTTTGGGTGGAAGATCTGCCCTCTCCGTGAACACTTTACATGAAAGCGTTTCATGTAGGTGCTATTTTCTCAGCATGGTCCGGGGTTCAGGGTCTCGAGCCACTGGGATAAAATGTGGTAGGGGACTGTAGTAGGAACTAGGCCCTTCCTGATGTCAGCCCCGGGTGTGTCCCCCACCTCCCCTCCCGGAACTGGGAACATGCAGACGCCCACTGACCTCATACTTCCTTCTCACCCTTCTGCTCTCCCGAAGCTGCTTTATGTCACAGTGAAGGTGACGGAGGAGGGGCTCTCTGACACCAATGCAGCACTTTCTTTGTAACAGAGTGTTTAGCCTCATGGGTTGAATTCAGCTGACAGATTCTCAGCAGTGTCTCCAGCCAGCTGGGCCCAGGGAGTGGCCCCAACATGCCACTTGTCCTGTGTGGCCCTGACATGCCCCCTCTGTGGTGCGGTTAAGCTCTTCCAGCTGCAAAACAGTCGCCATACCTTGGACTGATTTGAAAGATGAAGTGGGAGGCGGGGGGAGAATAGGCGAGAAATTCTCCTGATCCCCTGGGAAAAAGTTAACTTGAATCATCTGTCGCCTTGACCCTTGCTGGGGGCTGCCACTCCCAGGCCAAGCCCAAGAGGCCCTGGTGCCCACGTGCGTGCTGGGCAGCCACCCTGCCCTGCATTCCCCAAATGCTTACTTTCTTAGTAATCGCTGCCACTTGTACTGAATGGAAGAATTGAGCTTCCCCCGCCTGTTTAAACTCTCAGCCCCACCCCCCCACTCCCAGATACACAGGTTAGCCACAACATTCACCAGCTCAGCAACATTTACCAGCTCAGCAACTGAGCTGTTTCTGCCTTAAACCACCCCCTACCCAGAGCCCATGCAGCAACCTCAGACCCTCTGCCTGGGAGCAAGTTACAAAGCCCTTTCCCTCTTCTAACTCCAGAGCTTGAGTGTCAGAAGCTGAAAGGACCTCAGCTGCCCCCTGACTGATGCCTCCATCCTGCAGACCGAAGTGGAGGCCTAGAAAGGGCCAGCCTTGAGGCAGGGTGACACAGCACACGATGGGCAAAGGCTGAGCCGAACCCGAACCCTCCACTGCTCTGCTTCGTGAGCTCAACACCCGGTGACTGACCGGAACCATGGCCAGGGGGTCAAGATGCAGGGGAGGAGGCTAGGAGAAGCTCTGTCCACTCTGAGGGTAGCTCTAGGATTCCTAAGCACTTCCGAGGTTTTGGGGAGCCGCTCACAGGAACTCCCCCGACTTGGAGCCTCAGCAGGCCCCAGGCTGGCTGCTGAGTGCCTGGAGCACGTGATGGTGTAAACAGGCTCCAAGGTCTCTGCCATCCTACCCACTGGTAGGGCCTAGCTCTGAGGGGGCCGGTAACATCTGCAAGGGTGCTCTTGTACCCTTGCAAGAGACAGAGACAAGGGTGCTCTTGCACCCTTGCAAGAGACAGAGGTCTCCCAGATACAAAACAACGGCTGAAATTCAGTGCATGGGAAACTCTGGGAAAGGATCTGGTAGCTGGTACAGGGGTGCGGGCACCACACCAATCTCCTGCACCAGCCACTTGCATCCGTGGCACCAGTAGGGCCACCTCAGTCTCCCCTGGGGTCCCGGAGTATGGGGCTCCACAGCAGCAAGGGTTCTGACCCACTCCACCTCTTTCTTGCAGGTTCATGTGCTCCCAGCTGCCCAATCAGGTCCTGAAAAGCATCAGCATCATCGACAGCCCCGGCATCCTGTCTGGAGAGAAGCAGCGCATCAGCCGAGGTCAGTGTCTGCCCCCCAAGCACATCCCAACCCTCCTCTGGTACAGCCCCCTCCCCCCAGCACCTCTGGGAAGCCTGGGACCCAGTGCTGAGGGCTCAAAGGCTCCAGGCGGGGGCTGTACCATCAGCAATTCTGCCGGTACAGCAAATGGAGAAACTTTCTGGCATAGGAGCCATGACTTCTGAATCTTTTTAAACACACAGTGCCCTCTGCTTCACCCAAACTCCGAGAAGCCCCTCAAGTTTGGGGACAGGTGAACGTGTTCCCGGTCCACACTGGGAATAGTCCCAAGCACAGCCGGTGTGGCTCAGTAACACAGAAAGAATGAACAGTGTATGTTTCTAGATTTTATAACCATTCACGGGGACACATGGGACAAAAAGGGAAGTGGGGAGCAGGGAAAGTTCCTCCTCCCGCACAGGCGCCCCTGCGGATCCTGGTGGGCGCGCTCGGCCCCAGACTACTAGCCTACTGAGGTGTTGTTTGCGCACTTGAGGCACTGATGACCCAGAAGGCAGAGATGGGGGCTGTTGGGGCGGTGCTCAGATGTAGGGACCCTGGCTGGCCTCCGGGGGTTGGGAAAGGCTCCTGAGAAGAAGAGACATTGGAACCAGGCGGTGGCTGGTAAGTAGGAATCCTGAGAACAGCTCTGGGGTGGGGAAGAGAGGACGTCCAGCATGCGGAGAGGGAAGAGTTCTCTGGAGCTCAGAAAATGCCTGTGAAGAGCGGCTCCATCAGGGCATTGTCCAGAAAACCAGACTGTGGCCCTCACGCTTTCCAAAGGTGTTCCCAGAGGAAAGGGCAGTCGGGGCAGGCCTGAGGACACAGGGGACTGGGAGGGCCTGTGGTGGGTTCCCTGTGCTCAGAGACAGGTTTGAACCTAGAGCAGTTTTGAAGGCTTTGCCCAGAGAGAGTTGATGAATCGCTGCCGCCCAAGCCAAGCAGCGAGGTGTGTGGGGTCACGGCCTGGGCAGGCGGGGAATCCCCCCAGTGCTCCTGGAGCAGAAGCACAGTTAGGCCGACCCGGGGAATGTTCTCAGATGCTCAAAGGCCAGGGTCCTACCACAGGCCAGAGAGGGGGGCCTCTGAGGTCAGTGGTCCCCCCTTGCTCTCAGCACTTCAGAAATGCAGGCTTTGTAGCTTCCGGGACCCACAGAGGGCTAGGGCTGCCCACGGGCTTCCAAGAACATTGCACTTCTAGCAAAACTAGGCCAATGCTGAGCACTTCTCATGGCCCTTTGTTGGTTTTTTATTATAAAGGAGATAGTGGGTGTTGTGAAGGAGTCACAGTGAACCAGGAGCTCAGGAATCACTCTTTGTGAAAACCCCACTGGTGTGTGTGACCCCCAGACATCACAACTGATAGCAGTTACCAGTGGTTTCCCTCTCTCTCTCTCTCTCTCTCTCTCTCTCTCTCTCTCTCTCTCTCTCATTCTCTCTATCTCTCTGTGTCTCTCTCTCTGTGTCTCTGTCTCTATCTTGTCTATCTGTCTGTCTGTCTCTTTCTCCAGTATCCTTGGACCTTCTTCCATGCACAGGCAGGGAAATTATTTCTTTGCGGGGGGGGGGGGGGGATTGGGAGAACCTACACCTGATAATGCGCAGTGCTTACTCCTGGCTCTGCACTCAGGGATCACTGCTGGTAGACTCGGGGAATGATATGGAGTTCTGGGGAACAAATTCAGGTTGGCCACGTGCAAGGCAAACACCTCCCCACTGTACTGTCTCTGCAGCTCCAAATTCTTTTTAACAGAATCAGAATTTCCATGCCTTTATCCTACATCTTGATTTTTCTCTAGAACTGTCCATCCCAGACATACTCCAGACAGGTATAGTCCAATTACCTCATTGCTGTCAGCAGCTGCTGGGTTTCATCCAAGAAACACAGCACAGTTTATTTTATGATGTTGCTGGGTGTTTTTTCACTCTTACAAATAGCACTGCAGATGAATGCTTTTTATGGTGGGCATAATGTCTATCATTATGCCTCTGTGCCATCAGAATTCTTTTTTCAAAAACCAGTTAGATCCATTAAATTAGTCCCATCCAAGTTGATTTACAGATAAAAATTTTGTCTTAAAAGGAAAATGAAGCGGAGCCAGAACGATGATAGTGGGGTAGAGCACTTGCCTTACACATGAATGAACCTGGTTCAATTCCCAGCACCACAGATGGTTCCCTTAGCCCTGCCGGCATGATCTTCTAGTGCAGAGCCAGGAGTAAGCCCTGAGCACCTCCAGATGTACCCGCCTACCAAAAGAAAAATGAAGAAGAAGGAAAATAAAGTAAATCCACCTCCCACAGTCTCTTCTGAGTTGCCCATGTTTCTCCACTTCCACATTCGACCAAAGTTTGCTGAGAAACGTGGTCCTCCTGGAAAAATCTCAGTATTTTTCTTCTAAGTCTTGACACCCCTTGAATTTTAGCTCCAGCCTTCTCCATTTCTTTTGATTGGTTGCCAGTACTAAGCATCCCAGCTTAGCCAGCATTTCTCCCTTGTTTCATCCTTTATAAGGCGTCTTTCAAACCACTGTCCTGATGCATGATGCCGCCTGTTTACTGCTTTCAGGACACTTTGAAGATCAATCCCTCATAAGACTATAATAATCCGACTCATTTCCTGGTCTGAACCAAGGTGGCCTATCCTCCTCACATCCTGTGCACAGAAATAGCACATGTGGCCCCACTAGTGGGCATGGCAGCTGTCAGGGCAGGACCCAGAGCGGCGCCCAGGCCAGCACTACACCGGGATCTGGGTTTGGGTACCAGCCAGTGTCCGAGGCAGACTCGTCATTGAATTTGTTCAGCAGAGAGTTTTAACGCATTCGCCCTAGAGAGCAGCCCCTCACCCCACTCCCGCCCCAGCATATTTACTTTCATCCCCCCTCGCCACCCCCTCCCCCAAGCTGGGATCTGTCACTCTTCCCCTGTCACTATGTCAGAGCCGCACCATGTGATGGGGAAAAGGTGTGACCCCGTAGGACAGTGGAAGCATCTGCCACTGACTTGATTTGTGGGACTTTGCTTCCTGCTCCGGTGCTCTTTCTGGAAAGCAAGGTGGCTGCTGCCAGGCCTTCTCCTGTTCCTGTGTGCGGTGAAGGGTGACACCACCCTGCACGGATCCTCTTACATGACTGTGCGCTGGGCTCCCTGATCAGGAACTGGTCTCCAGTGCAGCAGCACGCAGCTGATACTCAGCCCTCAGCCGGAACCACCTGCGTGCCCCCACCCATCCCCACCACGACCACCAGAACAGATTCCAGCCACCGTGGAATCATGCTCAGCTGCTGGGCAGCTGCATGGCTGAACTTGACTCCTGGGGAGGGGCAGAGTAAGAACTGTTGGACTATTTGCGGGGGGACTGTGGGGATCGGAGGATGAGTACTGCAGGCTGGCTGCTTGAGGACAGGGCTAGGGCTCCAGGAGGAAGTGGGGAGCTTGGGGTGACGCTGAGCAGTCCCAGGAAGGCTCATGAACTGTAGCACACCCAGAGTTCTCACTGGCAGAGGGAGATGGCTGGGGGTGGGTATGGCAGAGAGGTGCTTTGCTGGGGGAGTCGAGGGTGCTGAACTGGAGACCCACCTCACGTTTCCACAGATAGGGCTCATGCAGCTGTCCCAGACTTCAGGGCTCTGGGAACTTGGTGAGGGAGGATCTCCAGAGGGAATCCTGGTCCCTTAGAAATGAATGCAGATGGGGGCTGGAGCGATAGCACAGCGGGTAGGGCGTTTGCCTTGCATGTGGCCGACCCGGGTTCGATTCCCAGCATCTCATATGGTTCCCTGAGCACTGCCAGGGGTAATTCCTGAGTGCAGAGCCAGGAGGAATCCCTGTGCATCACCCCCTGTGCATCGCCGGGTGTGACCCCCCCAAAAAAAGAAATGAAGGCAGATGGGCCAGACCCATAGTACAAGACAACTTGTCTTGTACGTAGTCACTCTGGGTTCAATCCCTAGCCCCCCACTTAGCCCCCAGATGGTGATTGAACCTCAGTTGGCAAGGTGCAAGGCAAGTACCAGCCCACTGTACTGTCTGTGCAACCTCAAAATTACTTTTTAACAGAATCAGTATTTCCATGCCCATGGAAATGAGCATTGCACATGGTCACCTCAGATTTAATATTCAGCATATGGTTCCCCAAGTTCAATCCCCAGCACCCCATATGGTCTCCCGTGCCCTGCCAGGAGTGATTCCTGAGCAGAGAGCCAGGCATAAGTCCTGAGCACTGCTGGGTTTTGTCTCCCCCCACCAAAACAAAGGGGAAAGAAATGAACATAAGACTGGGGACTCTGGACCTAAGGTCCAGCCTTCCCATCCTCCTTTCCTGTTTGGTCCTCCCCTCCTGCCTGGCCTAAGCTTCCTCCTTCCTCTGGGTGAGTGTCTCTCAGGAAGGCCTGGAGACAGAGAAATGAGTGTGGACCTGAGATGGGGTGTTCTGCCCTGCTGGGCTTGGGCAGGGTAGAGGACCTGCCTTGTGTGACCCAGTCTTTATCCGCAACAAGTATCCTTAATCCCCTCATTGCCTGCGTCCCCATGGTGGTTTCTACAGTAGTGACACAAGGTGGATAAGCTTTGGGGGATGGGGGACAGTGCTGCTCTCCAAAACCTCCTGTCGGGGGCTCTGTGAAAAATAAACCATGACAGATCATTGATTCGGGAGCGGTTTTCAGGGTGCTTCCCCATGTGGAAACCTGTTCCCTTCAACTGTTTCTTTGTTTAATCATAGTCGGCAGGAAATATTTAGGAACAAAAGTTTGAGCTTAGTTGCTAAATTGGAGTGTTCTTGGCGGACGTGAGGATTCTGATTGAGCAGGGATAAAAATATGCTGCTATATTTATAATAATTATTTTATTTTCATCTACCAGCAGCTACCTTCCATGAGTTCTAAGATTTTTTTCTTGGGGCTGGAGAGATAGCACAGCGGGTAGAGCGTCTGCCTTGCACGCGGCCGACCCGGGTTTGATTCCCAGCATCCCATATGGTCCCCCTGAGCACCGCC